CCTTCCTCGTCTGTGTGCAGTGTCCTCGCTGCAGACGCGGGTCTGTTCCACACCCCACGTGCCGGTGGCACTCGGAGCACGGGCCAGTGTGTATGGGACGGGAACGTCACGCAAGTTGCTGCCTTTGCTGAAAACCAGCTCCACACCGTGTGCCGGCCCAGCTCCCACAGGCACCTTGGGCACAGGGACAAAACAGCAACCCCGTCACGAACTCAGGGCGTTTGTGCTCAGGAGCCGGAAGACACGGGCCACCAAGTCCCACCGACTGTGTGGAAGGTCTGGCTCTAACGGGGACAACTGCCGTGTCCTGATTAAATTTTAATCGCCCGGCAAATGCTCTCTGGTTTCGGGCGGTGGCCCGTCAGTTGGCTGCAGGCACATGCGCCAGGCGCCATGCGAGCAAGGGGTGCGTGCCACACACTGTCCTCAGAAAGCCCCTCTGCTTTGTCTGTGGCCACTGACGCCTGTGTCCCTGGGCACGTCCTCCTGGCCCTTTGGAGACCCCCAGACTGGAGGCGGGTGAGGCACCCAGGCCCTGGACCGAGACCCACACATGGCCGCGGCCCGCAGGCATGCGGGCTGGTCAGGCTCGTGGCCGCCCCTCTCTTGGCGTTTGGACCATTATACAGAACCGGCCAAGATTTCAGATCTCGATGGCTACACGTGAGCATCTGAGTGCAACGCCACAAAAGCCACATTCCTTCACGCTGTGCAGAAACGCCTTGGGTTCCTCGCTCTCCTCGTGGAGATGGCCGCAGAATCAGAGCGAAATGGGGCCCACGGCCGCACCCACGCTCGGGCAGGTGCCCCAGCGCGCCCTCTGCCCTCGGCCACCATCGCGGGATACCGCCCGCCCCAGAGCTGGGAGTCAGGATGCGAAGCCCTTCTCACGTGCTGGCCGTGGAGACGGGACAGTGCCCGGCGGGGTGGAGGCGTGTGGGTCTGGGACGTCATGAGCGGGTGCTGACATGGGCACGCAGCCCCGTGCTGCCCCGTGACTCCTGAGTCCCCGTGCAGAAGCCTCTGGAAGGGGCGGGGCTGAGCCGATCCGGGCCTGGCGGGCCTGTCTGCTTCGCATTCTGGCGACGGGGCGCATGTGCTTCCATTAGGCTCCCGGCGGTCCGGACGCCATCTGCGGCCTCTGTGGCGAGTCTCCCACGAGGGCAGAAAATCCACGGGGCCTCTCGGCTGCGGGGCCCAGCGGGCGGGGGCCACTCCGGGCCAGGCACAGGCTCGAGCGCTGGCCCCGCATCAGCCGTGGGGCCTGGCCCAGCGGTGCCGCACGCCGGCCTCTGCCCTGGAGCTCTCGTGCTGTGCGGGCTCAAGCTCGTCCTCCCAGAGCGACCCTGGGCGGGCCGGCCGTGACCCCCGAGGAGTGGGGTGCTGGCCGCTTGCTGTCCGCTGAAGGCACTTGTGATCTTACTCCCAACTAGGATAAACTCCGAAATATTTGGGCAACTGACGAAACGCCATCGGGTCGGCAGGACCGTCTGGGGACCTAGAAGCTGCCGCTGCCGCATGGCACGGGAGTTCGGGTCTGAACGAGACCGTCAGCGCCACCGCCAAAGCCTGAGACACGGGATCGGCCTGCAGCCGTCCAGGCCGCCGAAGCCACGGTCCAGACCGACCCTGCCCCCGGGAGAGCCACTCCGCCCAAATCATGCAAACCAAAAAGCGAAGACACACGGGGGTTCAGCTCAACAGGGGTGCCGCCGAAGTCACCGACACCCTCGCCACGATGTCCCGCGTTTCCCAAACCGGTTCCTAAGTCCACACTCCTCATGCAACTTCGCTGCTCTCAAGGCAAATTCTGAGACGATGCCGGGCGCGGACGGCTGGGGACTGTGAAACTTCCAAAGCTGGGGCTTTCCACGGGCCTGTCCCCAAGGGAACAAGGTTCACGCTCGGGGGACGGCCTGGGTCTTGCAGGGCACGCCGCCTGTGACCGACGTGCAGTCACACGCATGTGCGTGAGCAAGTGAAGGGACCTCGCCAGCCACCCCCTGAAAACGCCCGTCGAGAAGCGACAAACACAGGCCAGGCCCTCTGACCCGGCACTGGATGGCCCGCCGCCCGCTCTGCACAGGTGGCCTTGGCCGCAGGCGGGTGGGCCCGTGGAGGCCGCTGGCACCGTCAGCACCATCGCCCGCAGGAAGAGGCTCAGCGCCTGGCCTGGGCCCTGGAACCCGGATTTCTCAGGGGGCTCACACGTCGCCTGAGACCTCACGCCTTTCCTGAGCTTTACGAAAGGAAGCGCCATCTCGTAAACTCTAAAATGGGTCTGAACACCAGGACCGCGAAACGCTACCAGACACCGCTGTTACGCGCAGACACACCTTCAACAACAGCAGGACGTGCGCACCGGTGTGTGGCCCCGTGGGCCTGCCGGACACTCAGCACCGCGGAGTGAGCCGTGAGCACTGGGCAGACACCGACGGCCCCAAACGGGAGACACCGCCGCAGCAGCCAAGCTCCTGGGGAAAGGCTCGCATGCACGCGTCCCCGAGGCCCCTCTCCTGCTGGACGGGAGCAGAAGTGCACGGGGCCTGGGCGCTGGGAGCGGAGGCCTCGCTGCCCAAGTTCTCCGGCCCAGACCGCGCAGAGTGCGGCCAACCCGCTGGCCCCCGCGCCGGGCGCGTCCCCGGCCAGGAAGTCTGGCCGCCCTCGCCCGTGGGCAACACCGCGACCCCTCGCTCCCACGAGCCCAGCCGTCCCCGAGCACCAGCCTCTGGCGTCACGTGGAGACGTGTGCCAGGGACCAGGAAACACATTTCGACGTGGACCAGAGCAGCGGGAAAGGTCAGCGTCCCACCCTCGAGGGCAGTCTGCTGCCGTCCACATGCTGCCGTGCGTTAGCCCACAGGAATCTGGGGCGTCACACCTCACCCGGCTCCGTGACAGAAACAAAGGGCAGTCATGTGCCACGAGTGACCGCTACCCTCCCACCGAGACCAGGGCGAGCCTGCTTTCCGACTGCGGATTACATACAGGCTGGTCACGCAGACGGCCGCCTGCCAGAAGCACCGAGTGAGCCTCGAAAGGAGAGGCAGGTCACTGACAAAGGCTTCCTGCCATTGTCACCGGGATGCGGGGGGGGGTGCATTCTAGGCTGAGCTGTGCCCCCCCGGGAGTTCTCAGGTTACAGTCCTGACCCCGGGACCTCAGCACGGGACTGTGTGTGCGCATTGGGACTTTCCAGGGCTGAGGGGTGGGCCCTGAACCAATGCACCTGTGTCGTCAGTAGGGGACGGCTGGGCACAGGGATGGGCATCGAAGGGAGAAGGCGGCCATCCACATGCCCAGGAGGCGGCCTCACAGGCGCCCCGGGGCGCTCGGGTCGCAGACCCCCATCCCGTCCGGCACGGTCACAGCCCCGTGCAGACTGGCACCCGGGGTTCGCCTAGCAGTCCATAACTCGTTCGAAACACCTGTGCTACAGTTATCGTCGTGCTGGTGACAGGTACGTGTCGATGACACCACCCTCCCGCTGACATCGAGACTGCAGTGACGTCCCATGACGCGTGGCTGTGACCTTCGTGGTCCAGGAAAACACAGAAAGTCACAGACTGTGACGCGCGTGAGTCTGGGCTTGAGGTGGTAAGCACCTCGCCGCTCTTTTATTGACATAAAAATTATAGAGACAATACAGCAGGCGGGAACGGCTCTTACATTTTTTAAATGCCTCCCATGTTCAAGAATTAACTTGTTTGGATGATAACTTTGAAAATGCCGGCTTTTTAAACTTTGTGGCATTGAAAGTGAAAGCCAGGATGGAAACGTGGGTGCCCCCTAACGCACGTCGGGCCCCGGGGGTCACCTCCACCTCCTCTCTGAAGCTTCACTGGCTCCCGTCACCACGCGATTGCTTTACAAACTGCCCACCCTCGGGGCGTTTCTCTCGGAAGGGTGTGGGGGTGGTTGGATCCCGTGGGCGCCCAGGACCGAGCGTTCGTGGCCTGGCCCGTGCCCCAGAGGCTGTGAGCAGAGCGGACTGGGACGCAGCCTCGGGAGTGAGCAGCACCCCCCGGCCCGTCTATCTAAGGACACGCCGCTGGGGGCCGCTTCCAGAAACCATCTAACCTGCGGGAGCAGGAAGGACAGTGCTCGGCCTCGTGTGCCAGAAACGACATGCAGGTGCCTCGTCCCGGAGGCGGCCGCAGCCCGGGGCCACGGAGAGCCGCAGGGGAGGCTGTGGACATCTTCATGCTGCTCACGCCCAAGGCGAGGGCCCTTACCCTGCCACGGGGGGCGGGGGGGGGAGCGTTAGTGGCCCACCCGCTGGGAAAGCTGTTCCCTTAAAAATAAAAACACCAGGCTGAGAAAGCGGACTCAGAGGAGATGCCCAGACGCAACTGAAGAAGCCACAGCCCACGGCTCGGCGCTGGGCGCAGCTGGAGCTGCCGAGCAGCCGGAGCAGCGCCTGAGGGCCCCTGGCCCCCGGGCATCGCCGTTCTCCACACGCTGGGCCACCAGGGAGCGGGCGGGGCTGCCGCTCTGGGAGCTGCTGAGCTGAGGCCCCATCTGCACCGAGGCGGTGGCAGCAATTAGGCAGCGGGGACGTGGGCGAGCCGGGAGGCGAACCACAAACAGGAGAGGGACCGTTCGGTTTCACAAAAACCCCGGACGCCGAGGGCACGTGTGTGTGAGCCCTCCCCACAGGCGGGGTGTGTGCCCGGCCCGTGGGCTGCAGCCGAGAACCCTGCGCCTCGGTCTGCTCACCTGGGCCCGGGCCCTTTCAAGAGGGAGTCAAGAGAAGGTGGGGTCCTGCAGCTGTGCCCTCGTCTAACATGACCGTGCCCTACAACAGGGAAATCTGGACACGCAGACGCAGAGGGACAGCGCCAGGTGACGCTGAAGGCAGGCAAGGGGTGACGCTTCTAAAGATAAGGGACGCCAAAAGCTGGCAGCAAAGCCCCAAGGCTGGAGAGGCCGGCCGGCTCTCGCCAGAGCCTCATGGGGGAGCCGAGTGTGGACTCCGTGGCCCTCCCCCCGCCACTCACCTGGCATAGGGTGCGGGCGACCTGGGCCGGGCCCACTGGTACGGGTGCTGCGGCACCGCCAGGTACTGGTCGCAGAAGGCGCCCTTCCGCACGTGCTGGAAGGCAGCGAACTCCTCGGGCGGGACGTCGGACGCGGGCGGCGTGGTCCCCAGGTCCTCTCCGGCTGGCTCCACCTTGAGCGCCACCGAGGGCGAGTGGTCCAGGGCGGTCTTGCGGGCCTTGATGGGGACCCCGTCACCCAAGTCCAGGCTGCCGTCGGTGCTCAGGGCGTTGATGGCGGCCACGATGGCCGAGCTGGTGTACTGCGTGGTGTTGCCCAGCCATGTGTCGTCGGTGACGCTGACCCGCGGCGAGCTGTGCGGGGACGGGGTGGGCGAGTGGTGTGGGGAGCAGGACAGCTGCCGGCCGTTGAGGCCGTACTTCCTCTTGTTGCAGGGGGACGAGGGCCGGGAGCCGCGTGGCCCCAGCCAGCTCTCCTCGGTGACGCTCGTGCGGGGCGAGGTGGAGGGCGAGTGTCTCGGGGAGCCGAGCAGGCTGCAGGCGCCCAGGCCGCGGGGAAAGCCGTCCTCGGGGTCCGTGGTCTTGGGGGACACGCAGGGCGACTGCCAGGGGGACGTCTGCGGGGAGGCGTACGGGTACGAGTAGTTGGACTCGTAGGACGAGGCCTCGGAGTTGCAGCTGCGGGACGACAGGCTGCTGGCCGGGCTCAGGCAGGACGGGTCGCGGTAGGCCTCCAAGTTGGGCAGGTTCAAGGTGGCCGTGGACGGGGGCCGCTTGGAGCTGGGCAGGACGTCCTCCACCTCCACGTCGTGGAACAGCTGGCCGCTGCCGGGGTGCAGCCCTAGGTACGACGTAATCTCGATGCGCGGACTCTCCAGGGCCGGGGCACCGTTGGGCCTCACGTGGCTGGACGGCAGGAAGTAGCCCGAGGGCCCGCTGTCCACCACGGCCCCGTACGCCGAGGGGTGGCTCGCCGCCACCACGGCCGAGATGTCGGGGGCCGCCGTCTGCAGGTCGTGGCACGGAGCCGGCAGCGAGGGGTGCGCCGTGGCCAGGGGCAGGCCGGGGCCGAGGTTGGAGGGTGCATAACCGCAGTGCTCTGGGGACAAAGAGACGATGGGTGAGGGGCTGGCCGCCAGGCGCCAGACAGCCCCGGGCCTCGCGCAGGAGCGGGCTGGGCTGGCGCTGTGACCACAGCCCAGCGACTCAGGGACAGCCAGCCCTGGGGCCCTTCCCATGCTCCCTTCCCTCACGCGGCTCGCGGCCCCCACGCCCCACGCGGACTCCCCGCCTGCCGCTGCCCGACGCCCCTCCTCCGGCTCTTCACTCTAAAGGCGCCGCCCCAACCACCCTGTCAAAACTGCCACCCCCGGCCCAATGCCCTGTCACCCTTCCCCAGTTCCTGTCCTTCCCCGACACTCATCACCATCCTGTGCATCATCTCTCAGTCCACTGCGGGCAGGACCCTCCACCTGCCTCAGCCTGCTCTGCCCCACGGCCGCGTCCGAGCCTGCAGCCGTGCCTGGCACGTTAAGGGAGCTCGACTTGCTTAGCGGAGGAACGGATGGGGCTGGGTGACAGACGGGGTGGGTGAGTGGACGCATGGGTGAGCTGGTGGATAGAGGGACGGACAGGTAGATGAATGGGCGGGAAGGTGTGTGGATGGATGGATGGGTGAGTGGGTGGGGTTTAGATACAGAGACCTGTACATTTAAAGAGAGTGTAACAGGCTAATCACTGTCGAGACGCCCAAGCCACCAGCTGCGGAGAAAGCACCTCAAGGTGTGGATGGCAGTGCAGATTCTGGGTGTCTGTCACGTGATCTGTGACCGTGGCTCACGGCCTAGGAATCTCTCTTCTAAAGAGAGCAGAGCAGACGACACGGATGCACAGCTGGATTTGAGGATCATCGTGTTCCTTACACCCTCGGGGAAGTATTCGTAAACCGTGCGGGCTCGGTCAGCAACTGTTATCAGAGGGGACCGCTCGTGGGCTTCCAGTCTGAAGCATGTTTCCTAACTGGCTCCCACCGCCGGCGTGTGCAGAGGAGGCACCCCGGCTGTCTGCGCCCCGCAGAGGTGGCACCCCGGCTGTCTTCACCCCGCAGAGGTGGCACCCCGGCTGTCCGCGCCCCGCAGAGGTGGCACCCGGCACTCCGTACTCCACTCCCGCCGTTGGAGTGCGGGCTGGCGAGGCCCTGTTCGACGCAGCACCGTGCTCAGACGCCCACGTGGACGAGCGCCAGGACACCCGGGCTCTTGCGGTGCTGGCTCACACCTCGCAGTGCTCCCTAACAGAAGGGGCGAACACCTCGAAGAGGCAGGACCTGCCCCCGTTGTGACCTGCTTCCAGGCGCAGCCATCTCTACCCTCCGTGGTGACCAGCTCTTCATCAGCCTTGCTATCAAGCAGCTCCTGCTTTTATAGCTCAAACCTCCCCGATAAAAACGCGGATGGCTGTCCCCAGGACGTCAGGCCAGGCCCCTGCCACGTGGGTGTCACGGACGGCCTTATGCAGAGACAGTGACAGTGCTCCAGACGCTCGAAATCAGTGCCGGGTTCCAAAGAGCCCCCGGGGGACACAGAGCCGTGACAGGGAAGAAAAGACAGAGCTGAGGCTGGGAGTCACACCCCGGGATGCGGGGCGCCGCCTGCTCGGGGCGCGGACAGCACGGCACCTGGACGGGCCACTGCAGCCCGTGTGTCCTCGGCACCGCTGTCCCGGCCGTCTCTGAGTCTGCTCCCCAGGATCCAAGGACACTGGGGACACACACGAGGAAAGCACGAGGCCTTCGCATCCACGGGGCAGGGCACGGCGACCCGGGTGAGGCCCGACCCCGACGCCAGCGCCCGGCCTGGCCTCCTGCCACCTGCCCACGGCAGCGTGATGGTCGTGCCCATGTCACCAACATTCACTGTGACCCTGGCTCACACTAACACCCTCTCATGCTCACTGACCCTCTGAACACAAAAGCTGAAATCAGATGTTAACAATTTGACCACAATCTTTGTAAAACTCAAACCCCAGAAAGACCCTTCCTGGAGGAAGTCAAGGCTCCTCAGAAGGAGGTAGCATGGGGGCTGCAGGCTGCCATGTGGACGGCATCACCTGCAGCCCGTCCCCTGCCTGGGTGTGCGGGTGCCAGGCCCCGGCCGTGACAAACCACCGCAGAAGGTGCCTTGGCAGAAAACGTTTCTTTACAGCCACACACAGGCTGGTGTGTACTGTCACGTGCACCGCACGCACCTGTCAGCTGTGTTCTCATGCACACGGCCCGCCTTCCTGGCTGGCCCAGCCTCCCGAACCTTCCCAGCCACAAGTGCTGGTTAAAAGAAAGGACATGGGTATTCCCGAGGCCGGCACGTCGACGAGTCCGTGTGACCACAGGTAAGCCGTCAGACGCCCATCATACTGGACGATCGATAAGCAGGTGCTAACAGCAGGTGTGAGGCCATGTGGTGCGTGCGCGGGGCAGGAATCTCAGTAATTAGACCCCGACGAGGAGCTGCGTTACGTGTGACTTGTTCCGGCAGTGAGTGTGAGTCAGGGAGACGTCTGCCCACCTCCGTCCCCGGCACCTGTCCACTCGCGACAGCGTCAGTGCCTCCTGGCCCCCACCCCGGAAGCACACCCCTTTCCGGCGGTCCCCGGTGGCCACGTCCCCACGACTGGGCCCACGCTGCCCAGTGGAAGAGGCCCAGTGCCCGGGCTCTGAGGGCCAGGCCCCCATCTGTCTGAGCCTTTCCCCGTGCGAACACACAGGTGACCTAACAATCCACGAAAAGCCAGTTTTCACTTTAAAGAGAAATCGCCAACTCTAGGAGTCGCGGCTCCAGGCGTGAGGCTGGTGGGGACGAGCGTGGTGGGGACCAGGAGTCCCGCCCGCCCCCCGTGGGCCCACTGCACCGCCCGGGTCTGGGGGGGCTGGAGGGGGCTTCGGACGCGTCCCTACACTTTGGCCCAGTCAGAAGACATCACGCATCCCTGCGACGCGTTCTGGGAGACGGCGCCAGTGCCACAGCTGAACCACCACTTCTTGGCAGGAAGGTAATTACGAGAATTAAAAAAGAAAAAACAGCAAGTGACAGCAAGTCTGGGCCCCCACCCCACCAGCTGCCCAGCCCCTGGAAGGTTCTGGAGGGAAGGGAGGAGGGGGGGTCTGATGGGTCCCGTGCGAAGTCTTCGTGGAGCATCTAGTGGAAACGGGGGTCTGTGGTCCAGACCTGGGCCGTGGGGGATCGGGGGAGAGCTGGGGCCACCGACGGCCAGAGCATCCCAGTCTGCAGCACGTGACTCGACGAGGAAGGGGCAGCGCAATGATGTCTTCGCTGCAGACAGGGACTCGCCTGAGCCCGAGCTCCCTCCGTCAGCGATGACAGGACACAGGACAGAGGCCTGACAGCCAGAACCCGCCCCGGCCATGCAGCCCAGCGGGCGGCCAGCTCCTGTCCCCTGCCCCCAACCCCCACTGCTCGGTTTCATTATCAGCCAAACCGCACGCAAACTCAGATCTCACAGTCCAAGGGCGCACGTTTACACGGACCGAGAACGTTCCCAGGGCCGAACCCGCAGGGCGAGCTCGCGGGTGAGCGGGTGGCGACAACACAAACCAAACCTGAAGGCTCCAGGCCCAGCCCCCACTGCACTGCCCGGGGCCACCCAAGGGCGCCCGTCTGCAGGACGAAAGACAGGGACAGCTCCACGGGCACTGGCCACCCGACAACCAGCCAGGGACAAGGAGCCACGAACAGAGCAGACTACGGACTGGCCGGGAGTAAACCCGGGAACGTCCCGTGGGTCAGCCCAGCGGTGCTCCCGGGGGGCCTCGGCCGACCCGACCTGCTGCCTGGCAGACACGTCTCCTCCAGGTCTTCAGCCGTCACTCCGTTTTCAAGGAATCACAAGCATCTGAGGTGTCCGTTCCTCGCCGTGGGCCCCTCTGACAAACCACACAGAACTGCACGTCCTGCCCACATAAATGTCCTTGACAGAAACACCTCTGTGCTTCGGCCCGTCGACTAGAGACAGGGCTGAAGCGTCTCAGGCCCCGGCTGCAGGCTGACTGGCAAAGGGCAGGGGCCTGCGGTGTCCTCGGTCACCCTCGCCCCCGAGAGCGGACTCGGGAACCAGCGTGCCCCCACGGACGGCCCTCTCACAGGCCAGCGGCACTGGCGGGGGGCGCAGAGTGGCCAGCATTGAGCCTGGGATAGCCTGATGGGTGGGAGCCGCCAGCGGTCCCCTCGGCCTGGCCAAGTCCCTCCCGAGTCACCAGGGCGACAGTCCTGGCAGCCGCCAAAATAACTGAGCAAACAGGAGCCCGGGCGGGAAGCGGGGCCACACCCGCCTCCCAGCTGACAGCAGCACAGCCATTTCCTGAGACCCAGAGAGGGACATCGGGCCTCCTCTCGACCCGACCCTGCCTCCGGCCAGGAAGCCCGCTGCCCAGGCTTCTGCCCAAGCTGCCCAAGCGAGGGTGGGGGGCGGCGGAGACCCCACACGCCTGCCCAGCTCGAATAAGTCACTTTTTAATTTCTCTTTCCTTGCCCCCAACAAATGGTTACTGACTGCCTTATCGGCACCTGCGAGGTACTCTGGGAATAAAGAACCCCAAGACCCAATCGCCCCCCTTGAAGTAACAGGCAAGACAGGAGCCTATCAGTGAACCCCCCCAACAAGAACACGAAGTGGCCTGAGTGACAGGGAGGACACAGTGCTAACTCAGCCACTGACCCTCGGTGGCCAGAACACTGAGGACGCCACTCTTAACTCAGAAGGAATCGTGACAGAAATGAACAACGAGGCCACCCGTGGACAGGGCTGGCCTGTCCTGGTGATGAGGCGCCCGTGTTTGTGATCAGCGCCTCATCACCAGGCTCTGTGTCACCAGGCTTCGGAGCCCACCTCAGTATTAGTCATTTGCTTCAATCCAGGCTTAGTGCAGAAAGAACATGGAGCTGTTTTTGCCCCCGCTAAGAGCTGGAGAATTTAATGTAACAACGTAATATAACAATGTAGTAATTAACTTAATAATCAATAATTATAATGTAATGTAAAAACTAATATGAACAAGAAAGAAGGACTTCATTCATGCTGCCGAAACCTGGAAGTAACCAAGACACCCTTCGGTGGCGATGGACGGGTGGCCCGTAGCCCACCCGGACCGTGGCCCACCCCGACCGTGGCCCATCGAGCTGCGGCGCCGTGGAGGAGCCTCAGACGCGTGCGACTAGTGGGGGAGCCTGCCCGAGAGGCGCCGCGGGGCGATCCCAGCTCCGCGATCCCAGCTCCGCGACATCCCGGCGAAGGCCGCGCGGTGCAGGCAGTGAGCAGGCGGAGCGCAGGGGGTTTCCGGGGCTGTGAAACCACTGTGCGCGACACAACGTGTGACACGCGTGACTCGTCGCGAAACGTATCCAAACCCGCGAGATGCGCACCACCAGAGTGGCTCCGCGGCGGGCCGTGGACTCTGGAGCACAGTGAGCTGGCAAAGCGGGCCCGGCCGCCGTGACCCGCGCCCAGCACTGGGGGGTGCTGGCAGCGGGGAGGCAGTGGTGCGTGGGAGTGCACGGGACTGTGTGGGGACTCCGGACCTGCCCTCGATTGTCCTGTGAACCTCAAACCGCTGTAAAAATACTCTTGATAAAAAAGAATGAAAAAAAGCATGAGCGTCCGTTGCAAAAAATATATTAAAAAGGAATGTTTTCTATAACTTTCCAACACCGTGACACAGGAAGGGGCCCTCCTTCTCTGCCAGGCCCTCCCCCCCCAGAGGCCTTCCTACAGGGGCCTTAGTGGGAAGCCCCGGGGGGTGGGCATGGGGCACACACCCAGCAAAGATGCTTGAAGCAGCTTGAGCAGCTCAGCGCGCAGACAGCTGCCCGTGCAGGGCGGGCAGGGAGGCGGGCGGGTTCTGCTGAGGACGTGAGCATGTCCCTGGGACCAGAGGTGGCCCGGGAGGGCTGCGTAAGTCCTGGTCCGGCCATCCTTCACACTGTGGGGTCAGGAGTGTGGGCCCCACTTCCACCCTGTGCCTCTCACTGGGGTATTTGCCAAACGCACTGAGAGGGGGTTGAACACCCACCCCACCAAGGGACAAAGTCCTCCACAGAAAGAACCCAGCACGCGATGACAGCGCCACAGGCTGCAGACCCGGCAGGAGCGTGCAGGCCGCCAGGGCCCCGCTCCCCACTTTCTGTCCCAAGTCTCGGCCCCCAGGACCCCAGAGGCCTGTGAACCCACAGCCAAGGCCGACGACAAGGGAGCTGGTCAGGGAGGGCAGACGACCGAGCGGAGCCTCGGCCTGGTCCGAACACTTACTTTTTAAAAACGAACAGTGTTACAGTTTTGAAAAGAGAGGCCGTGAGCGACATGGAAAATATTATACGGCCGCTGAGGAAGGGCGGCCGTCTGCCAGGAGCACTGTGTGCAGCTTCACCGCCCCCCGCCACGTGGGCAGGGACAGAAAGCGGATCCTGCAGACAACGCAGAAAGGCATGGGGCGAGGGGCGGCCCCTGGGCTCCTGCACCCAGTGGCCCCGCAGGCCGGAGTCTGGCCCCCGAGGCGGCTGTGGTTTTCCAGTGACTCGTGTTCTCACGCCGGTGCCCGCTCTCGGGGAGGAGGGAACCTTTGTTTTGACCGAGAAGATAAAATGGAAGCAAGAGGAGGCCCCTCCCGGCGGCGGCTTCCACTCTGCCCTTCCTCTGGGAGGCCCGAGGGGCCCTGAGGTGGCGGGCAGGTCGGGGGGCTCCGTGGCCCCCCTGCCCTCTGGCAGGAACCGCTCACCACCTGTCCCCGCGCAGTGTCCAAGTCGGCCTTGGACGCTCGAGTCCCCTGGCGTGAGCGGCGGCCGCCTAGGGCAGGAGGCCCCCTCCACGGGAAGACCCGAAGTCCCGAAGACAGGCACAAGTGTGACCCACCGGCAGGAGGCTGATGCTCCCAACGCCAGAAGCCCCCCGCGGTGGCACCCAGCTCAATACGCCTCGCGCGCCAAGACCCGAGGGGACTCACAGGAGGCCCCCCCGCCCGCCCCC